CTCGCGCTCTTGGCGATGCTACAGTGGCTTCATCAGCTCGTACCGTTGGCTGCTCTCTGAATCAAGGTAAAACAAAGGAAATATTCAGATCTTAGGGTTTTACTAGCCAAAAAAACAAAAATCACTTAAAACGCCCCGACAAAAAAACAAAAAATCTACGGGTTTATTTTGACTGATTGGAGGTCTTTTGACGTGCAACCGATATCTCAGATTGGCTTTCGTTAAATTGCGGGCACCTCGGCCGACATTTAAACCCGACAAATATGGATTCATGGGCCAGCGCGTTGGCTCAGAGACACTGAGACGTTTTAATGTCGAACCATTCCGACATGCAGAGTTTGATTGCGAAGATGATTTTGGCTAGTGATAAATAACATTTAAATGCTTTCGCATACTTGGCGGAATCCCAAATGGCGGAATCCCCTTCATGGCGCCTATTTCATTTGGATCACGTCAGGCATGTGTACCAACGTACAGTAGAACGCGCGCAAAAGCAGCTGCACCCGCAGCCTCGCGCTTGTTGTTCTGACATCTCTGGCTCGCTCACTGCGGGCATCCAGGCAAGATCCAGGCATCTGACACCCTGACATCTCGCGGTTTTTCTGTCTTTCACGTGGCGTTCCAAGCGGCACACGCCGGAAAATGCACATCAAGCTATTCTTGAGCACGTGTCGCAATCTAGAAACTGCAATTTGCCGTAACTGAATGGGAAAGGTTTAAGGTTTAATAACATTCTTAACGTGTTGTATATCAATATGGAAGTTCTGTAAAATATAATATCGAACGATGCTTCGTACTTTAATGTCTCGTAATTTTGATTAGTTGACGTGATTCCATACCATAAAATAATACCATTTTAATCTTTATTTTTTACTTTATACTATACATTATCTGTACAGTTTGGTGCTTACTTTTTTCATTCATTATATCCAACCGAACGCACACGTAAAATATCGTGGACAATGGGACGTCTAGGCTGTATGCTTTTTGGTTTTAACCGAAAAACACCGATAAACATCCGCCGGTGACCGAAATAAAGACCGTTGCAAGCGAAAAAAAACATGTTCCGAATTATTTTTTCCCAACACTGAAAAAGTCATACGGAAACTTCCGTCAAACGCATTATCTTTCCCAGAATCATGAACTTTTCCTGTCTTTCTCTTGTGACCTATGTGGTCTTGGACCACGTAGGTCACAAACGTATAAGACCGACACGCGGAGCGGCTCTGTTTACCAACACGGCCGGAAGGCCGCGCATGCGCGGTAGCTATGTGGGCAAAAGCAGCTCGGCTCTCCGTGTTTTCGCCATTGCGCTCTGTGGCATGCGCTCGTTGTTGACGTTGTAGGGACGCTTATATCTTTATTTATGCGTCGTATTTCCTCACAACGTATGTCTTATGCTATGCCCGACTATTTGAGCTCGTTGCCCGAGCCTGAACGGCAGCGGTATCGAAACAAACTGTGCGTGGACGGCGTTTACTACGAGGATCCGTACGACCGTATAAACAAGACCTGCTGGACTTCCGACGTAAAGTTGCTGCCACCGACGTCGATGGCTCACGTCGTCGTTTATTTAGTTTTTTCGCCAAGCCAGTTCACGGCCGACACGGTGCAGGCGTACACGTCTCTCGAGGTCTACGATTACTTCGAGTTGGTTCCCGCACTGCCGGCGGGATCAGCAGCCTGTGGGTCCGAGGAGGTGTATGTATTCATTAATTGATTAAACACACACAGCGTCTTCAAGTCAAGGTATGATATTTTCCCTGCCCTCATGACCACAAGGCATGACAAGCAGTAACGCCTTGTCCGTTCTGCAGTCTTGGCGGTTACAGGTTACATGTAACGGCGTTGTTGGTAACGCGTTACTTTTTTCAGTAACGTAGTAACCCACTCGTTACGTTTTCGACACAGTAACGGATAACGTACTTGTGTTACTATTTCAAGTAACGTAGTTACGTTACTCGTTACTACTTCCTAGGTCTTAAAGAAATTACACTTCAATTTTTTACGTGTTTTAGGCGTCAAGCCATGATTTTCTGTGCGTTTTTTCTCGAAAGTATTTAGGTGAAACCGTAAAAAGCGATAAAGTAATTATGTTCAGTTTCTGTATGAGCATAATGTTTCTTGATATATTACCTGTATCGTCAAAACCGTAAAATGTGTTAAATCATAATTTAAAAACGTAACGCAGAATCAGAAGTAACGTGCGTTACTTTTTATCAGTAGCGGTAACGCGTTCCTTTTATTTTTAGGTAACGTAGCTCAGTAACGTGTACCTTTTATTTGCAAGTAACGAGTAACGTATTTGGTTACTTTTTTTCGGTAACGCCTACAACACTGCCGTTCTGTCGGCGTTCTCCTTCTGCTGGGTAGCACGGGCGTAACGAGCCTCCAACGAGCGCTTGGCCGGTGCTTTGTGCGCGAACACCATGGGAACAAAATCCGGGTGGTCTCAATCAGACAACGGTTTCCCTGCACATAAGCAAGCCTCGGGACGGAGATTGAAATGGAAGCCGCACTTGCCTTCAAGAAAGTGTTTGCCGCACAAACGGTCGTTCGCGCGAGGCGACCATACTTTTCGATCCACGGATATTATGCACCTCCTATGCCTTTCAGAGTCTGCCGGGAACTTGTGGAAACTCACTCTGCTGCTTTTCTTGTACATTTTGGCGCAATTAACGGCAACACAGCTTCGCGGCATGCTGAAATGCTATGACGCACATGCGAAACGTGCGCGCTTTTGCTCACACCCCCCGGCTCCGCGGCGCGATCGCAGCGCCGCCGCAGCTCCGTGACGTCAAGCCCTCGTGTCGGTCTATACACCAACTCAACTCTCCTACGTCACGCCGCGGTGGTGGCGCGTCGGACGCACTTCCGGTCTGGGGCGGTGGGCAGAAGTCGCCGTGCGAGACATGAATTCTTGTGTTCTTTTCGAAGAAACCAGACAAAAAACCTGCGTTCTCGTCAAAATGCTGCGACGGGAGCTGTGCCAAAAGAGTCTGGAAAGGTTTTAGATCAGTTTTCATGTGTTTCTGCCCGCTCCGTTCGTCCGAGAATGTGGATAGTAGCCATGAAAAGGGCAAACCAGACGCTGTCGAACTACGATTGCTTGTGCGGGCAACACTTCGTGGTCGCCAGATGTATTTGTTTTGTTCCAACATGAACGAGAGAAAACCACCAAGTTGTCCTGGCCACCCGCGGGTTCAGTCCGTCTTCAAATTCACACGGCCGCCTGATCGTTCGAACTTTCGTCTGCTCTTTCGAACTTGTCTGCTTTTTGTCGTCTGCTCGTTCAAACAAAAGCGGCCCGTAGACCAAACTTTGACCCGGTGATTGCAATAAGAAATAATTGCAGGCCTTAAACGACTTAAGTAGGCTCGGTGTAAACAGTACATACAAGATGTCGATCATTGGTACCAGTGGCCATCACCGACTTGTTACGCTTTGTATGTCTCCGCTTCCGAATTTCAGTATCGACGTCAATCATCACCGCTACCTTCTACACTTTAGCAGCACGAGCGACGTCGCGACCGAAAATATCTAGAAGATTCTCATCGTGGTTTTGGCGTCCATTCTGTGGCGTTCACGCGAATGAATCGCCGCACGTCAAATTACTTACGCAAAGTTTAGCGGTGTAACGAGCCTTGATAGTTTCGCTCAGGCGATTAAAGTGGTAAGACGTTGCTATGGGGACGTAGATTCGACAATTCCAACGCGAAAAAGAGTATGTAGACTCACACAGACGCCGACAACGTGACATTCCAAAGGTTTGTGGACGCGGGACCCGGTGCTTCTTGCCCGCACTCCATTTCGCATGCGTTCGAACTGTCGTCTGCTCTTTCAAACTTGGCTGCTTTTTGTCGTCAGCGCGTTCAAACAACAGCGGCCCGTAAACCAAACGTTGACCTGGTAATTGCGATAAGAACTAAGTGCAGGCCTCAAAACACTTATGAAGGTTGGTTGGGGTAAGTAGGCTAAGTGTACACAGTAGATGCAAGATGTTGATCATTGTTACCAGTGGCCATCACCGATTTGTAATGCCCGATTCTACTTGCGGTTTTCAGTATCGACGTCCTCCATCTCAGCTAGGGTCCACGCTTTTGCAGCCCGAGCGACGTCGCGACTGAAAATAGCGAGCAGAATCTCATCCTTGGAGTCAGGCTTTAGCGCCCATACTGCGGCGTCCACGTGAAATAAATCGCCGCAAGTCACATTATTCACGCAAAGTTTTGCCTCGTTAATTTTGCTGAAGCCGCTCAAGTAGTCAGACATTGTTTGGAGGACGTAAAATCAACAATTCCAACGCGAAGAAGAGCACGGGGACTCCCACCGACGCCGAAAACAACGCAATGCAATGGTTTGTTTATGGGCGACGGCGGGCCTCTTGCCCACCGTCCACCGCGCATGCGCGGCGCCGGTGGCGTCCGCTAGGGGCGCTCCAGTTTGTTTGTAAACATGAGTTGGTGTATAGGACAGTAGCTTTGTTCCACTGTTGTCCAAGGTCAGCGGTCCTCCTAAGCCACCGACCTTGAAGATCACTATCACTGGCCCGAAAGGCCAGTCAGCGGTCACAGCTGGCCAGTACTGTTAGACGTTTTGGGGCTCCCGTGTCTAGCGCAAATGTTGAGCGGGTATTCTCGAAATTGCGCGTCCTTAACAGGAAGGAGTAAAGGACACGGGCCTAAAATGTAAGCACCGGTATTCTTGAAATAAATCAAAACAGATCGCTTGCACGGTGGGGTTGTATGTGATTGAATCCGAGTCTTCGCCGAAAGCTGATGCAGCTCTCGGGTCTAATACTCGTACATGCTCAAATAACGTGCCCAAATAACGGCGGAAGGGCAATGGCGCGTACTTGTGAGAAAGGTATAATGACTACGAGCTTCGTCATTCGCTGAGATGCTTGTATTGTTCCCTGATATTCGCTGTCTCGTGTACTGCAGAAAAATGAACACAGGTTCCTTTTTTTCTCGAGCGTTCATAAAATTATCTCCTGACAGGGGCATTGTGTACACGGGTATGAAGGCCCTTGTGGACACGCACGCGTGTCAGGAGTTTGTCGACGCCCTCAACACTCTGGAGAAAGAGCTGCACTACGGACCGGACAGTATACCGCAGCTGGAGGACGTGTCCAACTTCCTCAAGCGTGAGTTTCAACCGTTATCTCCACACGACTGACTGTCCTGCATAACTTATGTATTATTTAATGTTATACATGGCTCGCTTCGCATGCGGGCCGGTTCTTTTCTTTTCGAAGTCACCGTGGCTGGCCAGTGAACTGTATTGCTGGAGCCCGCTCTTGCTGAAACCACAGCCTATAACCTCGCAGAATTTGTCTTCGGAAGCCACCGGTTGTGCAGTCAAATTTCTTCCCTGTCAGATGAAGCGCGCGCGCCGCCACCGGCGAGCTGCGTCGTATTCCAGCGAGATGATGTCATGCCAATTGTGCTTCCCTCTCCACCGCCGTTGCCTAGACAACCCATTCGGTCACAACGACGATCACACGCCACGGACTGGCTGGCATTACGGTGCATAAACGCGTAGACCACCGTAAAAGATGTGTGGCGTGCTGTATCATATGCACTGCGGAAAACACTTCGCAAAACAAAAGCTAGGTATCACACCGATTGCCTAATGCATCTATGCGCGCTGAGTATTAGACGGAGCTTTGTTTGCTTTTGTAGCGGCGGTTCTTGAAAAAAAAGGTGTTAATTAGCAACAGGCGTATTCGGCGCATTCTCAACTTGTATTCGACTATAGCTAAAAACAACAACAACACTAACTGAGGAAACAGAAGCGGCTTTGAATCTGACCCTCCCGCAGGTCGGAGCGGCTTCACCTTGCGCCCTGCGTCAGGTCTACTGACGGCGAGAGATTTCTTGGCCAGCCTCGCCTTCCGGGTGTTCCAGTGCACGCAGTACGTGAGGCACAGCTCAGCACCGCAGCACTCGCCGGAACCGTAAGTTCCACGCCAAATTAGGCTTAAATCACCCTTTAGAGATAAGACTTTTGGATACAATTGTAGCTACTCGCTCGAAAAATAATTAAATTAGAAAGTATTTAGCAAAGTTTATTAAATTTACCTTCTTTTCTGAGGTCAGTTTCTCCTTTTTTACATATATAGTTTCTCAGTAATGGAGTATTTTTCATTGGTTAGAGATTAGAAAATAATGTTGCTCAGGTTGTAATAAAAATATACTGAGGACGTTTCAGAAATTGTTGTCCTCAATATTTATAGAACTGCAGGACTCCTAAGGACTGTTCCTAAATGTTTCATGCCTTTCCTTTCTACAGCGTGCTATTAATACTGCCCTGATATTTATCAATTAATAAACACTTCTCTCTTGAAAAAAAAAAGTTGCTCAGGTTTTCTAAAAAGACGTGGGTTATAGCGTTCTTAGCAGCGATGAGCGTTCGCGTGCACGCTGCCTCATAAACTTCTGTGGCCAATAAGGCGGCGTCATTAGCCGACGAGAAGGCCCAAGCACGAATCATGAAGCAGGATGCATGAACATAATGAGCCTCCAGGGTGCGTTTCTTAATAAACTTAGATAACGAAATAAAATAAAAATCACTTCACTGCCTGTCTGCATGGTGATCGGTTGCAGAGACTGTATCCACGAGCTGATTGGCCACGTCCCGATGTTCGCCGACCCCCTGTTCGCCCAGTTCTCTCAGGACATTGGCCTGGCTTCGCTGGGCATCTCGGACGAGAACATCGAAAAGCTGGCCACGGTGATGCTTTACGGCATTCTGCAATTGAACCATCATCTATACTTTTAAGGCGAAGACATTAACTGTCCCATGGAGCGAACCGGCGTTATCAGCTTTTGAAGCCGCGCCAAACGGCACCTAAAGTCCCCTGTCCCATGGAGCGAAGGCTGTAGTCTGTAGCAGCGAAACGGAGAAACAACTCCCCTTGCCTGGCGCGCCCCCTAGTTTAGGGGAACGCCACTCTATGGAGCTGCGGGCCCGCACCGCCGCGCCGGTAAGGAACACGGTGGCGCGCGCTCGGTCGATTCTGTTCCTCTGGTCGCCGACGAACATCGCGCCGCCTCAAGCATCTACATCGTCAGCGGCCGCAAACCTCCGCGGAACACTTCGCGGCCTTCAATTGGACATTCATGCTTTCGCATTCACAACTCATAAGAAGTGCTTAGGTGTCCTCGGAATTTTGAATGCAAACAAGCGCGCGCTTGCCCACACCTATAGTGTAGCCAATGCACATGCGCAGAAACCAGTTTTGAGTGAGGCGAGGTGTCTGCGCGGGCGCCGTGCCGCCAGCAGCGCCACTTCTGCGGTGTGACGACGGACGCGGATTTTGGTCTGGAGCTCTTAAGCTTTGTGGTCTGCAGCGAAGGAGCCCTCATACACGTATACTTAGCCGGGATCGTTTGTACGTCTATTTTGTTATTTACCTTTGACTGCATTCGAAGGCACAATGAGGTTATTGTAAAACATTAAGTTTGCACCTTCGCACACGCCGTTGGAGGCTCTAAGGCCCGTTTGTCACGATTATTCATGAGGACTGCGTGTTTCACCCTACGAGTAAACGACTTCAGTGCGTCGGGAAGGATTTTATGCTGAAGAGTCGATTACGCAGTCATCTACTTTCACCAATCAAGCGTAATGCTTTATCAAGTGTATAAATAAACTGCTGGATATCTGCACTGACTTATATGTAGGGTTCAGATTTTTCGGTTTAAACCGATAAAAACCGATAAAAGTATGCCGAATCCATTTTCGGACATTCGGTTTTAACCAAAAAAGGTCAGTTTTTATGTTCGGAATTTTAAATTTCAACTGATAAAAACCGATAAATGTACGTCAAATCCATTTCCTAAAATTCAGTTTTAACCGGTAAAGGTCCCTTTGACCTTCCAGTCGTACCGCAGGGCCGTGACGGAAGGTGGAACAGTGTCTACCGAAACGTGTCCGAATGTATGGGATACAGGGATGCCATCACGACGTTTTGGTTTAATGTGCGCATCATCGATCAAAACGTGAAGTCCGAAATGCCCCATGACTTCGCCATGTACGAGCGTGTTTTCAAATTCGTTGCAAAGAAAACTGACTTGATGCAAGTTCTGCATGTTGTGTTGTGCTTCAAAACGTTGCACCGTATCTCTTTTGGCGGTCACAATTAGTGTATTGGCAGATCTTGGCTCAGGCAGCGCTTCATATCCTCAGCATGCCAGAGTCCAGTGTTAGCGTTGAGAGGGCATTCTCGAAACTCAGGGTCTTATTAACAAGAAAGAAAGAGTGCGAATCAACGAGGAGAACCTGGGAAAGTACACGTGTGTGTACTATTATAAGATCACATAATCCTGATGTACAGAAGGTGAAGTTTCATGTTTTTGGGGCATATTTGACTTGTTTGTACGTCTGTGTTTTTCTTGTTTGTTTGGCAGTTGCACATATTTGCCAAATATTGTGTCGATTTTTTTTTAATGTATCTGTGCCGTTATTGTTTGAGTGATTACAAATGTCAGAGCTACAAGGATCATCTGGTCCAGTGTCCGTTGGTGTTTATATTATATTCACCGGAAGAGGCCGATTAACTTTTGTGGACATAAATATACACCGAAAAAAACCGAAAATCGGATTTTAAAAACAACACCGAAAAAAGTATGCCGAATTTCGAAAAAATAGAAACTGAAAACGCGGAACCATACAAGTTATATGGTATGTTTGATCTTCATTTCTGGATGTTGTTGTACTCATGACTAATGAACTATACTTGTTGTCACATCCAGAAAAAGGAAAGATTTGTGCATTATTCCTGCGTTGCGCCAAGTACCTTTTACAAGGTTTGGTTGTCGAAGGAAGAAACGATCGGTGCTTGTGGCGTTTGAAACGTGTATGTCTTCATTAAATAACATCAAGCTGGTTTAAGATGCCCCTACATATACCTTAATTGGACGCACAAAAAATAGTAAGGCTCCAAAAGAAGCCGAACCTTTTTTTTTCTAACTTTTTTTGGGGTGAATGCTCGAGTATAGGTTAAACTCGGAATATATAACCTTTCGCTCTCACTGATTTTACAGCTTTACTGGTTCACTGTGGAGTTTGGACTGTGCAAACAGAATGACCAGATACGGGCCTACGGTGCAGGACTGCTGTCTTCTGTTGGCGAGATACAGGTTGGTGAGCGTTATCCTCTCGTAGATAACGCCGAAAACTTGGCACTACGGACTTGGTGTCTAGGATGTGTTGGTGGCACCAGGTTGTGAGTTATGCTACGCATCTTGTTCCCCAGCACGCACTGTCAGGAAAACCGGCCATTTTGAACTTCGATCCCGAAGTGACGGCGGTCCAAAAGTACCAGGACCTCGAGTACCAGGACACCTATTTTCTCGCCGAGAGCTTCGAGAGTGCCAAAGAAAAGCTGAGGTACCTACGTTTTTTTTTCTTTTTACGGCATATTTTTTTATAAAATGATGGTTAGTCCACTATGCTTTTGATAACCTTTTTGTTATCTCAGATTACATTGAGGTTTAAACAAAACACGAAAGGTGGTAGAGGCAAAATAGCTGAACCAATGACGATATTGCTTTAGTGAGGAATCTCGTATAAACACACAGAATGTCTAATTTCCAATTTGGAAATGTTTGCTTCCGCATTTAAAGAGGGAAGGGCATGCGAAAAACTTCATCCGACCTTTGACAGCAGCTGTAAGATTTTCTTTTTACCTTAACGTAGTAATAACGTAGTAATAAGGATATCCCGGAACATGCGAACACATAAAAGCAATACAAAAAGAGCATGAAAGAGCAACGTGGAATTTTCGTCATCAGCCTCACATGACGTGGCATGTCAAGCCTCGTGGCCACGTCATGTAAAGTGGCACGAGTCTACAACGCACCGACGTTAGTGTCCCATAGACATACGTTCAATGTTCAAGAACTTCGCCAGGGGTGACCAAAACGGGCTGCTATGTGTTTTTTGCTATGGCGTCACCACCATTTGTCGTATCATCGGCTCAAATGGGTATTAATTACCCTCTCTTTCTTTCTCTCACTTTCTTTGGCCTTCCAACAGACAATACGTCGCCAAGGGCGGTTTCCGGCCCTTCGAAGTGAGCTACGACGCGTACCGACAGTGCGTCGTGGTCCTGGATTCTCCGAGAAAGCTCATGGGCCTGGCCGACACCCTCCGAGCCGAGATCAACTCGCTTACCAACGCGCTTGACAAGATGAAGTGGAAATGAACTTCCCGTTCGTGTACACCGCAACCAGCACCACCCGTACTCCGCTTCACCGCAAGTCAGAAAGCAGCAAAAAACTGAAAAAAAAAAAAAAATATACAGACGCAGACGCACGGACTGAACGCGCACGATCAGAGCTTCGTGCAATGCCACCTAAAAAACAAGGCCTCCTGCAGATGACGTCATAGTTAGTGGATCCCCCGGACCCGCCCTAAGCGCCAAACACGCCGACTTTCTCTTCAAGGCCGTATTGGCGCATGCGCCGCTACGACCCGATGAAGTCAATCCTGCAGCGCCAAAAAGGGAATCGTAACGTGCGTTTGATACCACCGGTTAGACCGTTCGCGCTTACAAAAAATAAGCACACCGTAGACACGCTTACCTGTAGGAATGCAAAAGGATTCCTGCAGGCAGCGCGCCAGTCTCATTTTGGCACACGGCGCTCCGACGGTGACATCACTCTCCCCCACTGCGCAGGCGCGGCACCCCCGCCGGCTCCACGGCTTGCGTGACGATGCATCTGCGTTGCTGTGCTTTTCTTTGTGTTTTATTTCTGAGGCGCGTCCGCTTTGACCTTCAGCGACGCGTGCTTGATGACGTGTTTTTCTGGTCATCTTTCAGGCACAACGCCGACGCCGCCTTTTCGCGTAATAAAACATAACAATTTCGCCTTAAAAAAATGAAAGAGCACACAACGCTTTAAAGGGATGCTGAATCAAAATTCGAATTTCACAAAATAAGCTTGCAGAAATGTTAAACGGGGCGCTATAAACCACGAAACATCACTCATATGGCCACATTTCGAGCGGATGGCCGTAATTTCCGGGAAATAAAGGAGCGAATGAGGGAGAATGTTGACGTCATCTTATCGCTGATAAGATGACGGCAACGTCTCCGTACCCTCGCGCGGAGAGGTTGACGTCTCCTCTACGCGCGCTCGCGGATTCAAAGCGAAAAGAGGAGGAAATGAGAATCGCGAGGTCAAGCGTTTTTTCGGCCTTGTGCGAGCGCGCTCTTCTTTTACAAAAATACGACGATCCGTTGGAGATACCGCTTTACGAGTGACGCTTTGGGATTTGTAGCGTGCCGCCTATCGATTCGGCGTTGTTTACTAAAATTCGATTTTCGGTTGAGCATCCCTTTAAGACGACGGGCGTCGTGACGATTCAATTTTGGCGCTGCCTTGACTGGCCCCATCGAGTCGAAGGGTCGACTGCGCTCTGACTTTGGGTGAAGCGGACTATCGATAGAAGGCTGTATGGAGCTGAATTCTACGGGGCTCGTGCTCTGACTGATTGGACGCGAGTCACAGGTAGCCGTACGCTGATACGGCGCTCGGGTCCATTAGATGCACTGCGCTGGCCTCCTGTGGCTGTTGTAGACAATTCGGCACTATACGGCCTTCTGCCTACGTGGTGTTGCAACGACGTGTTCGCTATGGCCTCCTCTCACCAGGGCTACCTACAACGAACGCCACTTGCTTGGAAATTGCGTCATATTGGCGACCACTCTATATACGCTTGAATGTCAACCAATTAAACATGCACACACGCACACACACATACACAGAAAAAAGAAAAAAGGTTTCTGGAGACGCGATGTTACCGAAAAAAGCTCCGAGTTTGTTTTGTCCGAGTTTAAAGATTGCAAGAAGCGAACGTAGCGAGCTGGTTAGGAAACATCACAATCTAAACCCTGAGACACACACACACACAAAAAAAAAAACAAAAAAAAAACGGGTTTAGGTTATGATAAAATTTAGTGTTTGTTGCCCTAGGGGGAGCAGGCCACGAAGACCGCGTGTCCTGTGTTGCTGTAATTCTGCATATTTGCTCGCGAGGTGTCGTGTTCCAGCTCCCGTCTGCTCTCGGAAAATGGCGTCTTCGTACCTACGCGGCGTTTGCTAGAAAAAGCGAACAGCGTCTTTCTCACGGTACAAGAGTCACGTACAATGTGAGATTGAGAGCGCATTGCCGTCGGCACTTCTGCGTGCTTAGCAGTCATACTCTACCGAATAAATTTAGTATCCGAAGCGTTAACGAGTGCTACCTTAATTAAAAGGCGGACACCGACCTGCTGTCTACCAGTGTTTGTAGAGTAATCCCCGTGGCTATCGTCAGTACTGACTATCTTGATTAATTGATTAATTTGTTCAATTTGGTTAAATGCGATTGGTTTCCTGTAGGGCTTGTGCCTGGCCTCTTAACTCTGTCGACACAATAAAACCACCAAAACAAAAAGTACTAAAAAGTGCACAAGGTTCAGAAAGCGAAAACCCGAAGAAATATGATTAATATTTGTGTTGTATAGACGCTTTACACACGCGCCAAATTACAACCGCCATTGCTGACCTTCTCTTGTCTTACCGAGATGCCGAGCAACTGAAACGGTAGTTGACGATCCTTTACAAAGGCCGATGCTTCAGAAAAGGACACAGTTGAATCTAATATGGCAATAACCTGGCCTGCTATGGTAATGATGAATTGAAATAAACGAAATAAGAAGAAACAAAAACTGAAGGTCAGTTATGGCGGCGTCCATGCACAGCTGCTGTAAAGCGTCTATAAGATTGTTTCCATCTGTATTTTTTTTTTATGTAAAGAGTTCACGTTTTAGTTCTACCACGCGCAAAACACAAGGGCCGCTTGGAACTGGGTTCCGCTTGGGCTTTGCCAGAAATAATATTGCATAATTCTGGTTTTGGCAGGATTGTGCGAAACGACGTGGGGGGCTGTTGGCGACTCCAGCGAAATCGACGGCACCTAGTGGCTAGGAAGCTGTGGCGGCAGGTTCGCTCGCCAGTCTTCTCGAACGAATCAGATATTCACAGCACCTGGCGGTCTAAAAACAAAGCTATATAAAAAAAACAGGTGTTGAAAATTGCCAATAGAGCTGCTGTTTTCGAACACAGCCAGTGCTTTTCATCGCAGGCTTGTTAAACCCTAAACCGGGGGAAAAAAACGAAGAATACATCTTGCGGTCACAAGTATAGAGATGAAGTAACCGCTTCGGACACCCCTTTCTGGGTATTACACAAGGGAGGGTTACGAATATAATTTGACAATTATATGAAATCGTTAACAAAAACCAGTAAAAAGAAAGCACGGTGCGCGCACACAATGGAGACGAGAGCAGGTTTACAGTTCCTAATAAAATTCTAGGTCTAATTTTCATCGTCAATAAAGACACCCAGCATTCCATGAAATTTAGTGGTGCGATCGAGTTTCTTTGCCTTTGTATTTAGTACACTATTTGGGAGATGCTCGAAAAGTCCTTGGCGCTCAACGAATTGTGGGAACGTTCTATAAGCCTCTCCTTGCTCTGTCAGCCTCTACCACGTGAGAGTGGAGAGATCGACATAGAGAGAGAGGGAAAGAGAGAGAGAGAGATAGAATGCATCCGGTGTAGCTTAGCTACTGGACAGCTCGAGGTGGGGTTGCTAGTGTTAGGTAGAGTTGGCTTGCGCAGTTGATCGCATGCTCTCTTTGTCTCGCTTGCGTTTCCTCAGTCAAAGCACCTAGAAGACAAGGCCTGCGTGTGACGTCATCGTTTGTGGGTTCCTGACCCGCCCCAGGCGGCAAACACACGGACGCTCGACGAGAGTCACCGCAAAGCAGCAGGCGCGTCTGTCTTGGCGTCGCCACTTGCTAACGTCTCGCTCGATGCCTGGGTGCGTTGACGACGATGCTGACTCATGATAAGTGTTGCTGTGTGGATTCACTATGGTCCGTTGTAACTCAAGAAGGTAGGGCGAGGGAAAGGGAGGCTGGGAAGAAGGAAGCAGACGAAACGCTAACGAGAGGTGGTGGTTTTCCCTTCTCCCTTCCAGCGTTCCGTCTGCTTCCTCCTTTCCGCCTTTCTTTCCCTCGCTGTACCGTCTTGGGTTGCAACAAACTATAGTAATTGCGTTGTGGGGGAGGGGGGTAAAGTTTTTGTCTTTGATAGGTGGTATTCTACACCCGTCGTCTCTACTACAGCCGGTTTTGTTCAGTCATTTCCCGGAATTCCGTTCAACGCCCATAAAAAGCGCTGCACGTTCTGAATAAAAAAACAAATTGTACAGCAAATTTCTAGGCAATTGTGTTGGATACGTGACAAGTCCTTGCATCACCAACGTTTCGCGTCATATGACCTCAACGCCGGCTTAATTTTCCTGCTAAATTTAGCGGGGAAATGAATATGTGTTTGAATCACGTCACACGAAGTCATGTGACATTATTTTCCCGTCTAAATTTAGCGGGAAACTGACTTAGCGTTGAGGTCACGTGACAACAATTTTCACCTTCAATCTTGCGGGAATCTCAAGTCGTGTATAGGTCACGTGACACGAAGTCGTGTGACGTTATTTTCCTTGCTAAATTTAGCGGGAAAACTGCGTTGGTGTTGAGGTCACATGATGTCAATTTCTCCGCTACATTGAGCGAGGGGACTGTGATGTCACAGGCCACGGTTTCACAAAATGTGGCTTCACGAGATCCGGAGCAACTAGCCGAATAACGTTTCACGTAAAATTTACATACCTTGTGACCGCTTAATATTATTATTGAAATAATAATAATAAAAATAAATATTTTATTGCATCTTTCATATTGTTCATATACCGGCTCGGCAAAGCATGCATGAGTATACTTGTCTGCGGGGCCTGGCGTCCAACAGGCTACATGCTTGCTGATAACAAAGCATGTGCTGCTGGCGTGCAACAAAACAAAAGAAAAGAAAACTCGCACATGCTAAAATAACGAGAGGAAAGCGCAGTTTCAATCACGTATCACATTTAGAACACCAGTGTCTCATGACCGTATGTTACTCGTTTTAATGAATCCAAATAAAGAAGCTCTTCCGGTAGTTTACAGAAGTAAAACGGAACGTAATAAGCTTCTCTTTGCGCCTGAGAATTCGTCCTTTTTTAAGGGAATTTTGAAATCTCCCTCGAACTAATATTTTACTAGCGTTGCACAGCAGTGCAACTGCACAGTAGTTAAGACTCTGTCTACATTCATTTTCTCGTCTTTCTCTGCTTTCACTGTTCATTGTACCATATATGATGT